TGCACCTCTGAGTATGGTTTCTTAGCAGAACACATTTGAGCTCCATTTGTTGTCTTGTGTGTGTGTGTGTGTGTGTGTGTGTGTGTCTGTGTGTGTGTGAATAGTTTTTGTTTTCACTGTTGTGAAGTATTTCATTGTACCAGTTTGTTTCCATTCACTAGCTGAACAGCATCTGGAATGTGTTCTGTTTTTTATGATTATGAATAAAGTTGTTGTATGAATTGTGTGTTTGTGCCCAATGTGATGGTACTAGGAGGCAGAGCCTTTGGGAGATTAGGTTATGAGGATGGAACCCTCATAAGTGGGATTAGTAACCTTATAAAAAAAAGGCCCCAGGGAGCTCTCTCACGCTTCCCTCCTAGAAGGATGCAGGGAGTATGTGGCTGTCTATGAGGTGCCAGACACTGAGTCTGCCAAAATCTTAACCTTGGACTGCCCAGCCTCCAGAACTGTGAGAAATTAATGTCTGTTTTTCTCTGGTCTGTGGTGCTCTGGTATAGCAACCTGAATGGACTAGGACATCTGCCTATACCATTTTGTGAAAACATCTGTTTTTATTTCTCTTTGGTAAACACCGAGGGATGGGCTTACTGGCTCACATGGAGCACTTCTTAACTTCACAGGAGGCTGTCTCACTGTGTCCACTGTGGCTGCACTACTTTGCATTCGCAGCAGCAGTGAGGCAGTTCCTGCTGCTCCCCACTCTCATCAGCACTCGCATTTTCAAGTGTTGTTTTTTTTAATTCATTCTGACAGTTGTATAATGGTGCTCTCATTGTGACTTTAACTTACATTTCTCTAGCAACTAATGACATTGAGCATATTTTATCATGTGTTTATTAAATATTCATATATCTTCTTTGGTGAAATGCCTTTTCAAATCTTGTGTCAAATTTATTAGGTTGTTTTCTTATTTTTGAGTTGACTTGGTAACTTTTTTTTTTTTACTCTTTATCTTATTTTATTATTTTAAAATCTTTATTGTTCAGATTATTACGTTGTTCCTCTTTTTATCCCCCATAGCTCTCCTCCACCAGATTTGCACTGCACCCTACCCAATGCCCTTAACCCTGCCATTGTCCTCATCCATAGGTGTACGATTTTTGTCCAGTCTCTTCCCCCCACACCCCTCCCCCTTGAGGATTGTCAGTCCACTACCTTTCTATGCCCCTGATTCTATTATATTCACCAGTATATTCTGTTCATCAGATTTTTTATTCACTTGATTTCTAGTGAAACAATGCAAGCTGCTGTAGGGCCTTCAGCCTTCTTTTGGATGTTCTGATTCTCTCTGACTCAGCTGCAGTTTATAGCTAAGTTTAGATTTCAAAGTACCAGGCCATTCACATGCAAAAGCCTGTGTGCACAGCTTGGATGGGGCAGAGTCTCAGGGCAAAACAAACAGCAATGGCTTTCCCTCAGCTCTGCCTTAAGAAGTCCCTGGATCTCAGAGTCCTTTGGTAATTGCTGCAAGCTCCTCTGAGAGAAAGCTGCCCTCAAGTTCTGCCCACTTCCAGACAGTCCACTTTCTCCCCATATGAGTCTGGGTACCCAGAATCTCACCTGGTACTGGAGTTAAAAGCTGTTGGGAACTTGTGTCTCCCTCTAGCTTGAGAAAGCCAGCCATGTACTCAGTTGCCAGCCCATTCTGTGTGCACATCTCCATACCTCTGCCTTCCACACCTGCTCTGAATCTCAGTGTCTTTTCTCTTTTCTTCTAGTTGCAGAACTTTCACTTAGCCAGTCTTCCTGTGGTTCTGGATTATGACCGTTTTGTCTTTTAGTTGTAGTTTTGAAATTGGTGTGTAAGGCAGAAAGATAGAGAGCTAGAAACGTCATCGACGTTTCTAGCTCTCTATCTCTCTCCCTTCCTCTCTGTAAAAAAAATCAATAAAATATATTTTTTAAAAATAAAATAAAATTATTGTGGTATAATCTATATCATATAAAATTGACCATTTAAACCATTTTTAAGTATACAGTTCTGAGATATTAGGTAACTCACATTGTTGTAAGTTCAGGTGTTTACCTTTGCCACCATCTTGGTTTCCTCTCCTGATAACTTTCTTATACACTACAATTTCAAATTTCACATTTCTGGGTCCTCTGTTTCAGTCATTTAATCTCCCTGTCTATTCCTGCCCTGAACCACACTGTTTGCATTACTGTGACTGTTTTATTAGAGTAAGAAGGTATTTCATTCATATAAGACAAGTCCTCCTTTAATTTTTTCAAAATATTCTGTTATTTTCAAATTTTTATTACCATGTTTACTTTAGAATAATTTCATGCATGTTCTCCCCAAATTATGCTTAGATATTTACCTGAAATGATAATGAATTAAATAAAATTACTTAGGAAAAATGATCCTTTTTACTACTGCCTTCCAATTCAAGAAAAGACAGGTCTTCTGGATTTATTCCCCCCCCTCCCCCCCAGATATTTGTATTTAGTCTGTTTTAATAGGCAGCACACAGCAGCATCAGAGAAAAAAATCAGAAATGAAAATAGGACACAGAACATTTTGGCAGAACTCTGATTCTGTTCCAAACTGAACAGGCTTGGGACTGACCTGTGACAATGATGTTCTTTACATTTGTCCTATGTTAGATATTTGTAAAATGTACAACATTAAATTTGAGGATTAGAAAGCAAACAGCCCCAGTTACAGTTAAGACTCCACTTCCTTGTGCAGCTCATAACTCTTTACAGTGAATGAAAACTCTTTCAGTTCTTTTTTCACCCAAGGGAGAGCTGACCTGTTATAGAAGCATTCTAAAGGAATCTACATGGCCACTATGGATTGCAGCCATCATCTGCAGCTACACATTTATGACACATTAAAAAATGTCACTTTCTTCATTTTTAGAATAAGCATAAGCCCATGTGAACACTTTTTTTTTCCTTTTGAAAAGCACTATTTAGCTTGATGTACAAAAGAATTTTTGTGAATAAAAATGCAATTCATCAGCCCACCTGCCAAGCTGTCTGAACTCTCCTTCTTAAGTGATCAATTGATCAGTTCTATTTCCAGGTTTCTCTTCTTGACATTACCAAGCCTAGCCTTTGCTTCATTTTCAATACACTGGTTTCTATAATAGACAATTTTGAAGGAAGAAAATGGATGTTGTATATCTGACTTAAAATCTTTTAAACTTTTAATAAGAGTGTTCCCAGCTTCTATGAAGAAGCTTGATCCCACCCTGGCTGGGTGGCTCAGTTGCTTAGAGCATCTGCCCATCTACCAAAAGGTTATGAATTTGATTCCTAGTCAGGGCACATACCTAGGTTGTGTGTTCACTTGATCAAGGCCTCATGGAGTGGGGGACAATGGCAATAGAGTGAGCTCCCTGATGACAGAGATTTATTCTCAAATAATCCACCGTATCCACCTATCAAGTGCCTGCCAGTGCCTAGCTCTGAGGGATTGAAAAGAAACATGGCCATGGTCTCAACCCTCCATGACCTTTTCTTTTAAAATTATTGTGGTATTGCCAAAACCGGTTTGGCTCAGTGGTAGAGCATCGGTCTGTGGACTGAGAGGTCCCGGGTTCGATTCCTGTCAAGGGCATGTACTTTGGTTGCTGGCACATCCCCGGTGGGGGGTGTGCAGGAGGCTGCTGCTCGATGTTTCTCTCTCATCGACGTTTCTAGCTCTCTATCTCTCTCCCTTCCTCTCTGTAAAAAAATCAATAAAATATATTTTTTAAAAATAAAATAAAATTATTGTGGTATAATCTATATCATATAAAATTGACCATTTAAACCATTTTTAAGTATACAGTTCTGAGATATTAGGTAACTCACATTGTTGTACAACCATCACCACCATTCATATTCAGGACTTTTTCATAATCCCAAACTGAAATGCTACACATATCAAACAGTAATTTCTCATTCTTTCTCCCCCAGCCTCTGACAACCACTGTTCTCTTTTCTGTGTCTATGAATGTTATGACCTCAGGCAATACCTCATATAAGTGGAATCATACAATATTTGTCCTTTAGTTACTGGCTTATTTCACAAAACATAATGTCCTTTTGTTGTAGCATATATCAGAATTCCCTTTTAAGACTGAGTAATATTCCATTGTCAGAAAATACATTTTTTAAATTCATCTATCATTAGACATTTGAATTGTTTCTACTTTTCCTATTGTGAATAATGCTGCTATAATTATGTGCAAATATCTGTTAGAGACCTTGCACCCAATTCTTAAAAGTGGAATTGCTGGGTTGTTGTGTTTTTCAAGATGGCAGTAGAGTAGGTGGCTCTTTCTTGCACCTTCTCCCTGAACCAAACTGGAAGTAAAATTAAATTGGAAAACATTCACCCTGAACTGCCAACTGAAGGCAAGCAAATAGGATACTTTCAACAAGGAAGGGCAGAAACCACCTTGAGACTGCTATGAGTTCCTTATATAATATATTGATAGTTTGGAAATTAACCCTTTATTGATGTATCAATGGCAAATATGTTCTCCCATGCAGTGGGCTCTCTTTTAACTTTGTTGATGGTTTCATTTCCTATGCTTTCCCTCCAATGCCTCCCACAGATTCTCCTTAGGTAACTCCAGTCCCAACCACCTTCCCTCCACAAAACCTTGGTGAGTAGCAGTCTCAAGGTGTTTTCTGCCCTTGCATAGTTAAAATGGCCATATTATTCAAAGCATGGATAATGGAATCCCCATTAAAATATCAATGGAATTTTTAAAAGAAATAAAACAAAAAAATCATCAAATCTGTATGGAACCATAAAAGACCCTGCAGCCAAAGCAATCCTGAGAGAAAAGAACAAAACTGGAGATATAACGTCCCTTGACTTCATGTTATACTACAAAGTGACAATAATCAAAACAGGGAAGGACTTGCCCTGGGCCACCACACCTGCAAGGCGCATCTCAGGACTCTGCAGATCTATATCCTGCTTCACCATGGAAACCAGAAGCAGGCTCTGGGAGGCGAATGTTCCTCTTTCTGTGGGGCTGTTGACATGAGAGCCTGTGACCAGGAAGGCCTGCCTCCGAGGGCCACACCCTTTGTGTCTGTCTGTTCAGAGGACACTGTGGCCTCTTCCATTAGCTCAGCACGGTACAGAGAGAGGAGACACCATGACCCCCACCCTCACGGTCCTGTTCTGCCTCGGTGAGATTGGGGGGGGGGCAGCCCTGCTCTGTCAGGACCCCAGGACTCAGGGGGCTCATGGGGAGGAGGGTGCTGATCAGGGTTCAGAGCAAATCTCTCACAGGGACTCTCTTCCAGGCTGACTGTGGGCCTCAGGACCCCAGTGCAGGCAGGTGAGTCTCCCCAGGTGTCCCAGGTCCAGCTCCTCTCTGTGGAAGAGGGACCACACAACAGGCAGCCTGGGATGGAGAAGAGCAGAGAAGTTCTGGGCTGACAAATGGGAAACATCAGGGAAAGTCCTTGGCTGAGAGCTCTGAACTGAGGGTGGGGATGTCTTAAAACCCAGCTACTGGCTTCCTTCCAGGGACCCTCCCCAAACCCACTATCTGGGCTGATCCCCATTCTGGAAGCCCCGTGACCATCTGGTGTCAGGGGACCCCAAGGGCTAAGGAGTACCATCTAGAGAAAGAGAGAAGCCCACGACCATTGAAAAGACAGGAGCAACTGGAGCCAGGGGACAGAGCCAAGTTCTCCATTACATACATGACAGAGCGTGATGCCGGGAGATATGGCTGTCTCTACCGCAGCCCTGCTGGCTGGTCAGAGCACAGTGACTCCCTGGAGCTGGTGATGGTGACAGGTGAGAGTACACTCAGGGGTCCCAGCCTCAGGCTCTGCCCTCAGGAAGGAGGTCTGCTCTCAGGGTGTCTCACAGCTCAGCCCTGGGGAACCTGAAGGAAGTGTGAGCCCATTTAACATGCTATCTCCTCTTTTCCTAGGATCCTACAGCCTCTCAGCCCTGCCCAACTCTGTCGTGACTTCAGGAGGGAATGTGACTCTCCAGCGTGGCTCATGGTAGGGATTTGACAGGTTCATTCTGACTAAGGAAGGAGATCACAGGCTCTCTTGGACCTTGGACTCACAGCCACAGTTCAGTCCCAGGCCCTTTCCCTGTGGGCCCATGACCCCCAGCCACAGGAGGACGTTCAGATACTATGGCTGCTACATGGACAGATCCCACATGTGGTCATACCTTAGTGAGTTCCTGGTCTCAGGTAAGTCTCATTATTGTCTCATCCATGAATTGAGGCACCGGACACATATTGGCATCTTTGCTGAGAGGGGAGCCCTTGTGAGAGATGGCAGGTGGCAGGGGGGAACAGAGGCTCCTGGACCAGAGACACAGAGAGAGACAGTGAGGCCTGGACCAGGAGAGACAAAGGGGTTTATGGGAGGAGCCACTTCTGTAATTCACATCTGGCCTCCCCAGGTGAGTCTGGGAAGCCCTCCCTCCTGAGCCAGCAGGGCTCCATCGTGGCTTCTGTACAGAGCCTGACCCTCCAGTGTCGCTCTGATGTTGGCTATGACAGATTCGCTCTGCACGAGGAGGGGGGACGGGACCTCTCCCAGAGCTTTGTTCTGCAGCCCCAGACTGAGCCCTCTCAGGCCCACTTCCCCCTGGGCACTGTGAGCAGGTCTCACGGGGGCCGGTACAAACGCTACAGTGGATAAACCTGTCCTCTGAGTGGTCAGCCCCACGCAACTCCCTGGACATCCTGGTGGCAGGTGAAGAGCCAGTGGGTCCAGTCAGGGACCCAGACTCTGCACAGGCCCTGCTGGGGGACTCAGGTGGTGAGGCCAAAATGAGAGTGCAGGCCCCAGGGAGGGAGAAAGACAGAGAGGCAGGAGGTGTGAGGTGATAGGGGGAGACTCAAAGAAACAGACATAGAGAGGAGGGTCCTCAGAGAGAGGCCTGGTCACTCTCAGGGCAGAACAAGGTGAGCAGGCAGCGCTCACACTCTCTCCATCTCTCTAGGATGGCTGTCTGACACACCCTCCCCCTCAGTGCAGCCAGGCCCCAGGGTGGCCTCAGGAGTGAATGTGACCCTGGTGTGTCAGTCACAGAGCCAGAGGGATACTTTCCTTCTGTCCAAAGAGGGGGCAGCCAATCAGAGCACCAAGCTTGGCAGTACCAGGCAGTTCTCCATGAGTCCTGTGACCTCAGCACACGGGGGAACCTACAGGTGCTACAGCTCACACAGCTCCTCCCCCTTCCTGCTGTCACACCCCAGTGAGCCCCTGGAGCTCCTGGTCTCAGGTGAGGGCCCCTGACCCTGTCTGCTGAGCTGTCAGCTCAGGGTTCTATCCTGAGAACAATCATGGGCTGGAATGGAGTGGGGGCACACTAGGGCTGGTCACCCAGAAGACATTTGCACTTCAGAGACCCTTCCCAACGTCCCATGCACCCGGCCCCCTCACCTCAATCCTGAAAGTGCCAGGTGGGCAGTGGGAGGGTTTGAGTGGCCACAGTGCAGATGCAGAAGGAGTTTGAGTGAGGTGGGGTCTCCAGGGTCCATCCCAGATTCTTACCCTTTTCTGACCTCCTTCTCAGGAACCTCTGGGACCCCAGAACCCCACCCACAAGCCCCATATCCATAGCTGATAAACCCCTGGGTCCCCTCTGCTCAGAGGAAGCTAGAGCACCCCAGGGCAGTTCTGAGTCTCTCAGAGGACCAAATGCCCACCTGACACCTAAGATAGGCTTATGTCCCAGCGGAGGGATGCAGGGATTCCAGGAGATATTTCAGAGGGACCACAGGCCTCCAGGGACTCTGAGAATTCATCCCCCCTCCACCACAGAATCAGGCCTAAGAGGGGGAAGTGAGGCAGGTGACAGGTGGAGTGGTCATGGCAGAGGAAAATGTGGGGGCCCAGTCTCAGGAGGGAGAGCTGGACTCAACTGGGGAGAAGGCAGCATCAAACCCTCACCCTTCCTGATCCTTAGGAGGCTTTGAGGATTCTTCCCCTCTGCCCCACAGAGGCTTAAATAAGGGTCTCTGTGGGGAGGTTGTGGGTGCCTCCATGGGGAACAGGGCCTGAGCTATGAAGGGGTTTATATCCCTCAAGGGACAGTGACTTGGACACACATTCCCTGTCTGAGCCTCAGTGTCTCCAGGTTTAAAAGGAGAGAATCCTTCTCCAGAGTTTAGATTTCCTGTTGGTCCTGGTCTTGACCTCCTGGAAGAGGGCCTCACAGGGAAGCCCCCAGGACATGATGTTATGGGGCCTGTCCCCTCTGTCTCAGTGACGGTGATGCTGTATAGCAGGGGTGTCGAACTCAATCAGAGAAGGGGCCAAAATCTAAAATCCAGCCTAAATCGCGGGCCAAATGGTTTACTGAACAGTCATAAACTGACAATGTTAACCAGAAATGTGAATTTAAAATGAGTGGAACAATCTTTTCCTTAACAGTGCTGTTAACCAACTCACATGCTATCAAGCAAAACAGTAATATTGGTATCAAGCAAAACAGTAATATTGGAATGTACCTAAAATGCTCATTGTTTTGTTTTCTGGCTAGATGTCTGACACCGTTTTCCCCGGATCAATGAGTCAATGTTCGGTTTTATTTCTTGGGCTGTAGCAACCCGCAAAACAGCATGGAGGTTGTCATCGGTAATGCGTGATCTGTGCTTGTTTTTGTTCAGATTCATTATTGAAAACATCTGTTCACAAAGATAGGTGCTCTCAAACATGGATAGAATACGGGCAGCATGAAGTCGGAGCTCTGGCATTGAGTCAGGGGGCAGTAGAGGGTAGAAGTCCTCAATTTCAACATCCTGAAACCTTGATTTCAGGCCACTGTCAGACTGAAGCTCGATTATCTCCATCTGAAGGTGATGGGGCACATTGTTGACATCAACTGTAAAAGGATTGGCAAAGATGTCAAAGCCTGAGTGCTGTGTTCTAAAGTCAGAGAAGCGCCGCTCAAATTCACTTAGTAAACGGCTAACTTTGGTAGCCAGCCGACTGCAAGGAAAAGTACCAGAAACAGTGGTTGAGATACTCAAACAAACGGGAAAGTGGGCAAGATTGTCCTGTTCCAGTTGGGACTTCCATAGTTGAAGTTTACGCTGGAATGCTGTGATCATGTCAGACATCTTCGTGATGACTTGTTTACATCCCTGCAGCTTCAGATTCAGTTGGGCGAGATGCTCGCATATGTCACACATCATAGCAAAATCACATAGCCAGGCGGGATCCGACAGTTCAGGCAAGGGCCTTCCTTTACTTTCCATGAAAAGAGCAATTTGTTCTCTGAGCTCAAAAAATCTTTTGAGGACTGCGCTCTTGCTCAGCCATCTTACTTCTGTGTGGTATGGCACATCTCCATGCTCTGCACCCACCTCCTGTAAAAACTGCTGGAACTGGCGATGATTCAAGCCACGTGCCCGTATAAAGTTAATAGTTTTAATGACTGTGGTCATTATGTCATTCATGTCCAGAACTTTTCCACACATAGCCTCTTGGTGGATAATGCAATGATAAGTAATCAAGGGTGTGTGGCAGTGACTTTTTTGCATTCTTTCCTTCATTAGTCCAACCAAGCCTTTCTTTTCTCCGCACATTGAAGGTGCGCCATCGGTAGTTAGCCCCACCAACTTTTCCCAGGGTAATTTAAAATTATTTATAGATTTCTCCACAGCCTCAAATATATCTCTACCAGTCGTCGTCCCATGCATGGCAGCTACATCCAAAAGTTCCTCAGTGACAGAGAGGTCGGTCTTCGTAGCACGTATAAAGATGGACAGCTGCGCTGTATCAGTGTTGTCTGTGCTTTCATCGATAGCAAGTGAAAAAGCGAGATAACTGCATGCCTGTTCGGCCAGCTGTGATGATAGATTTCCTGAGAGTTCTTGAACTCTATCTGCAATGGTGTTTCTTGACAAACTGACATTTTGAAAACTCTGTATCTGGTCTGGGCATCCTTGCTCACACACTTTTAGTATGCATTGCTTCAAAAAGGCATCCTCTGAAAAACACCTTGAAGTACGGGCAATTTCTTCAGCCACTATAAAGCTTGCTTTCACTGCAGCATCATTTTTCGCTGTAGCCTTTGTAAACATTTGCTGCTGTGATTGTAGTTTGCCTTTTAGTTCTTTAACAATTTTATGCTTTTCTTCCAAAGTATATTTGCCATACTTAACATTATGTTTGGTGTCAAAATGACGACGTATATTGTACTCTTTCATCACCGACACTGTCTCATAACACAATATACACACTGGTTTGCCCTCTCTAAGCACAAACATGTATTCATTTTCCCATTTGTCATTAAATTGTCTGCCTTCACCGTCAACTTTTCTTTTCCTGGACATTTTGGGATCAATATTGGCAGTAAAAGATGTAGTTTATTGGAAATCTACGTTAGAAGGAAAAAGTTGAAAACTGCACAGGGATAGCTTGATTTGGCAGATGGAGTGGAGAAAAAAAAAGTCAGTCAATAAATGCCTGGCTGGGTACAGATAGCAGATTCTGTTGCGATTTTTATGCCTGTACTTTATGCCAGGAACTGGCAGCTTCTGCTGTGTATTTTTTATGCCCGCACACTCACTCTCTCCTCTGCTCTGCCACCCGCACAACCACATCGGATGCCGGACTATAGGTCACGCCTCCTGAATCTCGCTTGACTTGTTATCTATGCGCATGCGTAATAGATAGCAAGTACGGTGGCTGGCGAGGCGGCCGGCGAGATCACAAGCCTCCTATGTCACCGTGGGTCATTGTGATGGAACGCAGCAGAGTGCAGTGATGACAGCGCGGTGCGGGCCACATTGCAAGGCCTGGCGGGCCGGATTTGGCCCGCGGGCCTTGGTTTGACATGTGTGCTGTACAGGGAGGGACAGGCAGGACAATGGTCCGGGCACCCAGTCTTTCTCAGCTCAGGCTCAGCTCAGAGGAAGGAATAGGGTGGATCAGCCCTGGGTCAGCTCCTGGCTCTGCTGCTCCTGCTGTGGGGCTGGGCGGTCCCTTCTCTCCTCTGAGTGTTGAGTTCTTGTCTGCTCATCCCTGATCCCATCCTGCTCACAGGCTGCTGGGAGATGAGGTGACATAAGGGCCTCACAGAGCTCAGGAAGGCAGAGCCCCCAATCCAGCCTGACCTTCCCCAGAGAGCATCAGGGTCTGCAGGGTGGAGATGGAACTGAGAAAGACTCAGAGTCCACCCCTCACTCTGCCCCTCCTGTCCGTGCTGTGCTGGGGGCGGGTAATGAGAAAGGACCCTCAGCTCCAGGTGAGACGTGGGCAGGCGCCTGCAGAGGAGCCTGGAGTACAAAGCTGGTGTCCCCCTGGCAGGGGGAGGGGGGATAGCCTGAGGCCAGCACAGGGAACCCACAGTCCTGGCTTCCAGCTCCACCCCGTCCAGGCTGTGTGACCTGTAGCACTTGGTTAACCTCTCTGAGCCTCAGTGAAATGGGTGGTGGGGTCAGCAATCCCTGGTGCATGACTGATGTGAGGTGAGAGGAGATGAGTGACAGACCCCAGCATGCACCTCACATACAGTAGGTGCACATTCAATGGCATCACTGCCTCATTCATGATGTCACTCATGTCCAAGGTCCCGAATGGAACATGAACATTCTGATCAAAGTCTCGGTTCCTCTGTTCTTCTGCTCTCCCTTCTCCTCTTCCTCCTCCTCCATCCCTGATGTCAGACCAAAGGCAGGACATCAGGTGGGTAGGAAACGGGGTGACCTGGGTCACAGGATGGAGAGGGGCTCAGAGCATCTGCCACAGGAAACCAAATAGATGGAGAAGGTGAGTTGGGAAAAGGATTTCTCCAGAAGCTCAAATCAGAAAATGTAGAGAAAAAACACTCAATGTCAGCACAGATATATGTATCTAAGGTAATCTTCCATTATTGTCAATGCCATGAAATAGGAAACTTGCACACAGGGTACGTATGTTAAGGTAAGGTTCCCTCATTTTCAGTGGAATCACAGGGCTGGGCCTGGGGACAGGGTTTGTTTCTAACCTCCCAAGGTTGACACTGTCCCTCTTGACCAGCCCAGAGAGGGGCTTATGTCCAACCTCCTGCAGGGACCACACACCCAGAGCCCAAGGACAGAGGCCAGCAGATCAGGTAATTCCTGCCCCAAAGTCCCCAAACATCCACATCCTGTGGCCCAGCTCTGCCCCTAACTCTCCTGTCTTTCCCCCCCCCCACCCCCACCCCAGCTCCAGCCCAGCTGTGGACACCCAGGAAGAGCACCTCTGTGAGAGGAAGAGACAGCTGCCTGGGCGGGGGTGTCACAGGGTTTTTGGGAGATGATGGGGGAGGGATCAGATGGGAGGCTGCGGGGCCAAGGGTGAGAAGGACTGAGATGCACACTGCCTGACCTGGCTCTGCACCTCACCCTGGGTTAGTGGCCCATCTGGGAGCAGGCAGGGTCTGCAGCCTGTGATTTTGGGGATCTCCTAGGAGACACCCTCCTGTTTTGCCCCAGCAGATGCTGCCATGAAGGACCAGCCTTGGGAGAGCGTGGAGCTGGACCCTCAGGTGAGACCCCTTGCTCCTGTCCAGGCCACCTGTTTAATCCAGTGGACACTTCCCTGTCCCACCTCACCTGTGTCTCAGCAGCATCCACACTGACCTTCCCTCTGGGCCCCCAGGTCGTCCTGCTGTAACTCACTCCTGGTTTACCTGGAACCTCATGGCCCCACACACAGGGTCTTCTGCACTCCCCACATCCCCCGTCTCTCCTGCGGATCCAGCCAGAAACCCAGGTATATGCCCTTGACTGGAATCGAACCCAGGATCCTTCAGTCCGAAGGCTAATGCTCTATCCACTGAGCAAAATCAGCCAGGGCAATGGCAGAGATTTTGGGGCTGAATCAGCAAGTTAGAGCCAACTGTTTCTGGTTGACAAGAGGTTAACTTTATTTTTTTATTTTTTTTCTATTAATTCTCACACATGGAGATACATTTTTATTGATTTTGAGAGAGAGTGAGAGAGAGAGAGAGAGAGAGAGAGAGAGAGAGAGAGAGAAAATATACAAACATATTCTCAACCAAAAGTTAATAAAAGAATATTTTCTATAAATTTGACAGGATCCTTTTTCATTTTTTGCCCAAATGATTTTCCTCTGGCTTGTTCTGACACCATCTATGTTTTTCATGGGTGTCTTGCTATTAATCCAGATCTGAAATATCATTGCTGACATGTACACATAAGGAACTGTTTGACTTTGAAATTGGGTCTCAAAAGAACTATTGGCCCAGAAAGAAACTTACTACAGACTGATTCATATGCTTTCAGCATAATGATTATTGCTTGTCTCATTTTTTATTTTTATAAGTATATTTTCAGTAGGACATGATCTCACTCATCTAGGAGAAATAGTGAACAACAGACTGATGAACAAGAACAGACCCAGAGATAAGGAGCCATGGGTCAGACTGTTGGACCTCAAAGGAAGGGTGTGGATAAAAGGGAGAGATCAACCAAAGGACTTATGTGCATACATATGAGCCTAACCAGTGGTCAAGGACAATAGGGGTGTGGGGGCTTGAGTGGGAAGGGGTGGGAATTGGAATGGGGGGTTGAGGACAAATATGTAATACCTTAATATATATATATATATATATATATATATATATATATATATATATGAACTTATATACTTATATGCATAGCCCATGGATACAGGCAAAGTGAAGACCGGGGAGAGTAGTTAGGGGCTTGGAGGAGGGGATAGAGGAGGAGAAAATTGGATATATCTGTAATACTACCAACAATAAAAAATATAATTTAAAAATTAAAAAAAATAAAAATATCATATTTCCATCCTTAAAAAATATTTTTAAAATATCTGTCATTTAACTGCTTTCAGCATTTATAGTTAATGTGATTATCAGCATGTTGTTGTTAGGTGTCCCATATTATTCATTGTTTCTGCATGTCACCCCTGTTATTTGCTCTTCTGTTTTTCCCTTACTGTTCCTCTTTTTAGTTTTTTTTTAGGTTTTTTGTTTTGTTTGTTTGTTTGCTCTTTTTTCTAGTATTCCATTCTAATGTATTTACTGGTATTCTAATTATAACTCTATGCATGATGTTTTTTGAACGGGCTGTGGTATTACAATATAGACACCCAATTTCACAAATTCTACACAGAGTTCACATTTTACTTCTTCAAGTAAAATACAAAAGCTTTACAGCCATGTAGGTCCTTCTACCCTCACCATTTTATGCTATAGTTGTGACACGTATTACTTCTACATACATTACACACCCCACCAGACTTATTATTTGCTTTCGGCAACTATGCATATTTTTTTAAACATTAGAAGAGAAAAATATGTTATGACGTTTACTTAGCTATTTATTTATTAGGGATGTCGAACTCAATCAGAGAAGGGGCCAAAATCTAAAATCCAGCCTAAATCACGGGCCAAATGGTTTACTGAACAGTCATAAACTGTCATTGTGATGGAAACGCAGCGGAGTGCAGTGATGACAGCGCGGTGCGGGCCACATTGCAAGGCCTGGCGGGACGGATTTGGCCCGCGGGCCTTGTGTTTGACACATGTGATTTAGATAGTTTTGTTCTCTGTTTATTCTTGAATTTCCAAGTGTCCCTCTAGGATATTTTCCTTTCTGCCAGAATAACTTATCACTGCTTTTAAGCACATCTGCTGGCAATAAATTTGCTCAGTGTTCCTTCCTCTGAGAATATTTTGCATCCATTCCTGAAGAATACATCCAGAGGAATTCCAGGTTGGCTCTTCTCATTTCCCAGGACTTTAAAAATTATTTCACTCATCTAGGGGAAATGGTGAACAACAAGACTGATGAACAAGAACAGACTCAGAGATAAGGAGCCATGGGTCAGACCATTGGACCTCAAAGGGAGGGTGGGGATAAAAAGGAGAGATCAGCCAAAGGAGTTATGTGCATACATATATGCCTAACCAGTGATCAAGGACAATAGGGGGGTAGGGCATGAGTGGGGAGGGGTGGGGGATTGGAATGGGGGGTTGAGGACAAATATGTGATACCTTAATCAATAAAGAAATTTAAAAAAATATTCCAACCACAATGGTTTCTGATAAGAAATCTGTAATCACTCCAATCATCTTTCTTCTGTATGATATGTGCCTTTTTTCTCTGGACCTTTGCAATATATTTCTACTAGCTTGACAGTTTGATCATGACCAATGTCGCCATGGACATGAAGATATATAACTGGGTTCCTTAAACATGTAAATGTATGACTTTCAGCAAATTTGTGAAATAGCTGATTATTTCCTCAAACCCGTTTTTTCTTCATTGACATCATTGTCCTTTGCTGGGAGATCAATAACATAAATTGTGGCAGGTCCCCGAGTCTGTCTGTGTCCATGTTGAAATCCGGGTTGCCTCCCATGTGGGTGCTTGCCCAGTGCAGGAAACAGAATTATCAGTGTGAGGGAGGAGCTCTGCTCAGGGGAGAAGGGGCCCAGAGGAGGCAGCAATGACTCAGAGGTTTCCAAGGAGAGCCATGGAGAAAAAGATGGTGCTGATCTACAGAAACAGGAAGTCAGCGAAGGGAAGTGTGTGGGGAAAGTTCACAGTCCCAGTGGGGCCCTGATTTCCTCTGAGAAATGGAGATCAGTCTCCTAAGCATCTCCCAGGCCTCCCTCTTCCCTGGGGTGTCCTCCCTGGGACAGCCCCACTGGCTCCTCCAGGCACCAAGGAGAGTGGAGCATCCTTCACTTCCTCAATGGAGCACTTCAAAGAGACCATCAGCTCACTCTATGTTCCTCATTGAGCGCTTCTGAGCAGTGCCCCCCACCCACCACAGATTCAAGATGTCTCTTCTATGTCATCCAATCAGCCTCCTTCCTGTTACTCCAACCTAGACCCTACTTTTTTTCCTCTTATCTCTTTTCCCCACCTTCTGAGGATCCTTCCTATAGCCCCATTTGGTCTGAGTCTGCCTGCTGCACCCCTTCACCAGTTTCCACCTTCAAAAGAGATCCAAGTTGCACATCTGATATTCAAGGCTGTGAATGGTCAGGTTGAGCTAAACTCACCAGCCCCAGCAAACACGACTCTCCCTCCACAACCCAACTCACCCAGTAACCCACACTCCCCTCCACACCAAACTACACTCCGAAATGGAGCTGTTGGAAAATTCTATGCAGTAAGGTGATTCAGTTGGTTGGAGCGTCATCCTGATATCCCAAGGTGGCAAGTTCAATCTCTGGTAAGGCCACATAAAAGAATCAAGCAATGAATGCATAAGAGGAACACACTCTCTCTCTTTCTCTTTCTCCCTCTGAACAAAGCCACCTCCTTTGCAACCTGTGGGACCAAGACCCATCCTGTTTCATCTGACTCAACTGAAAGACTTTGTGTTAAAGGTTTGTGTAAGAGTTATACGCAAAAACCACATCAATAACTTAAGATACTGACCAACAGACCATCCAGGGGCCAGGTGAACGTTGGAATTTTATTATCAATAGCATTAACAATCAATAGAGCCATTCTGCATGGCATTTTCATATCGTGGTTGCCTTTTTAAATCAGAAATCTTTTCATACAATATGTTGATTTAAATTTATCCCATTGACTTGGAGCTAAAAAATCCCAAATATTTGCGTGGTTCACTAGACCTGTATGACTAGCCTTCACCTTTGCCTGACTGCTCTCACTTCTGACCACAGCTCGAGATTTTTTGGTCAAAGACAATCACCCACCAGCACCACCATCTCTGGGCTTCTCCCTGCTCATGCCTTGGTCAGTCCATGCCTGAGAAAGACACCCTCAGCCAGAATCTGGGTTGCATGGCATCTACCTGTCATTGAACCTCATTATCTCATTTTCTTTATTCTCCCAATGGGTATATGAGATTGTAACTGAACTCTTTGTCACCTAAATATCTGTAACATCTGCTTCATTCATCTCAGCCCCATGAGTCCAGGGAAGGGATCCCTGATCTTCAGCTACTCGAAGGCCTAGCCAGTGATCAGTAATACTGTCTAATTGCCTGACCAATGACGGCCCAGGGTTATTACTCCATAATACTAACAAATTGCTTGAACAATGACGAGCCAAGGTTATTTCTCAGTAAGTACTGCTTGATTGCCTAGCCAGTGGGAAAAGGGAAGAGAATTGCACTGACAGAGGTTCAAGAAAGGGAAGTGTTCTACACAAACTCACAGAGGTCTAGAAAAGGCAGAGTCAGAATTGGGCCAGAAATTGGGTGGGGTCCTCTCCTGCCCTGTTCCTCCACCCTCCTCACCTGGGACAGCTATCTTCCTCTGGATTTGCATTTGGCATGAGGTAGAGGCAAAACCTGTGGTGTCTGGTGAGATTCAGGTCAGTCTCAGAGGTCCCACAGTTTGCTGTCCCCTAAGGCCCACCCTTCAGGGAGGGGCTACTTCCCTTCCTGTGAGGCCACTGATGAGGAACCAGTGACGTATCACTTGGGGACTGGACCTTGTCACAGCCCATTCTTGCCTTTGTTCCCCAGGCTCTGTGGAGTTTATGTCGTCTGCACACTGGGGATCATGTGAGGAAACCTCTCGACCCAGAACCTCCCTGACTTTCTCAGCCTCGGTGAGCTCCAGGGGAAGGGGTGGGGAAGACACAGCTCGTGGCCATCACTGGGCTGACAGAATGGTGAAGGGAAGGGAGAAAACGTGCATGTGTGGAGTCTCGGGAAAGAGAAGGGAACTCCCAAGTTCACACAGACTCTGTGAGAGGGAGGAACTGGTGGTTCCTTCTGCTCTACCCTGCGCCCTGCACCTTGTACCATCAGTACTGGGATCAGGGTCACCCTCTGGATTGGGGTTGGACAGGAGTTGGAGGCAGAGCTCGGGGGGTTCTGCTGAGACTCATATCTGGTCCTGAAGGTCCTTGGACCTGCTGTGTCCTCAGTCATCCTTCAGGGAGAGCAGAGTGAGGCTGATGAGGAAACAGGGACCTGTCACCTGGAGCCAGGGCCCTGTCACATCCATGCATCTGCTTGTCCTGCTGAGCTCTGTGGACTTTATCCATCATCAGTGCCACTGGGGACCATGGCAGACAGCACCACAGCCTTGACCTCCATTGTGCTCCTGGGCCTTGGTGAGTTGGTGGGGAAAGGAGGAGGGATGGGGACCTTTCCCTCCCAGGTCCTGACCTTGTGAGACCCCAGGACCCAGGAGGCTCAATGGTGACTGGACTCCTCAGGGAGGAGACATGCTCAGCCCCAGGTCTGTCCCCAGTGCTCAGGAGCTCAGACCAGGCCTGGGGCTTTTGTGTACGATTGGGGACAGTTCTCACAGGGACTCTCTTTCAGGGCTGTGTCAGGGCCCATGGAACCAGGTACAGGCAGGTGAGTCTACCCCCACTTCCCCCTGACCTCCTGCTTCAGGACAATCCCCCCAGGGCAGCTGGGGAGACACGAGGTTTGGAATAATGGTGACCAAGCTGGAGAGGCCTGGACATGACAACTGGGGAAGGTGGGGAGAAGAACGTCACAGAAATTTCAGGTCTGATTCCTTTCTAGGAGTCATTCCCAAACCCTCCATCTGGGCTGACCCAGGTCTCATCATCACCGAGGGGAGTCCCGTAACCATCTGGTGTCAGGGGTCTCTGCGGGCTAGTGCCTACATTCTGTATAAAGAGAGGGGCTCAGAGCCCTTGGATACGAGGATCCCACAAGACTCCAGCAATAAGGCCGGTTTCCTCATTGAAGTCATGACATCACCTCACGCAGGGCTGTACCACTGTGCATATAACACCACTGGGGACATACTGTCAGAGCCAAGTAATCTTCTGCTCCTAGTGGTGACAGGTAAATGAGACAATGGGTCCCCTCCCCAGTGTGGGCTCCAGATCACAGGCAGAGGTTATAAAGTGTGGCCTCAGGGGACCCCACCACTCATAGTCCACAACTGGAGCATGAGAGTGATGGTCTCTTTAACACAGACCCTTTCTCCTCCCTCAGGATTCTATGGTGCACCCTCCCTCTCAGCCCAGCCAAGCCCTGTGGTGGCCGCAGGAGGGATTATGTCCCTCTCCTGTAGCTCACTGTTCACATCGGGCCCTTTCCATCTGTTTAAGGAGGGAGGGGCTGACCCGAACCTACACATGGTGGCAGAACCCAGGAACCATGCTGGGACATGGCAGGCCATCTTCCCTGTGGGCCCCGTGAGGCCCTCCCATGGAGGCACCTACAGATGCTATGGTTCTCCCAGCTCCAAACCCAACGTGTGGTCACAGCCTAGTGCCCCTCTGCACATCGAGGTCACAGGTGAGGGACAGGCTCGGGTGCATCCCCAACTGTTTCCTGGGCTCCAAATGACTGTACTTTGTGTTAACTGGGACCCTGGGCTCAAAAGGGGTCAGTGACACTGGCCTCTTGGGGACAGACCCCCAGGTGGGAGGCTTAGGGAGGGACATGGGAGACAGCTATTTGTAAAGTTGAATAAATGCATAGCCCATTTAGAGAATTGCACCTCTAACATTGTAATTTGTGAAAATAGGAAAGCTCTTGTTTGGACACACTTATATCATGACCTGTGAGCCTCCCAAAGACTCTCTTCCTGTGGGTTTTTCAGATGATCCTCTGATATAAAATTATAATCCCCAGCAGTCAAAGGAAATCCCACTTCTTTATTCCTGATGACATACCTATTTTTCTCCCTCCAGGTCTCATAGATGGAAAGACGGACCAAAATGGGCCACTACTTTCCCTCCGGAAAACAGCTTCATTCACACGCAAAGTTATGGCAATGCAAATCTATTTACAAATTTGCATTTTATATTAGAAGCACTGTGGCCACTTTGTTCCCATCCCTTCTGTTTCATTAGGGTTTACGAGGAATGGTCTCTTTTCCTGACAGATGCACATCCCTCCATAATTACCTTTTCTCTGACCTTTAACCACATGACGCACATTACAAAGGCTTCTTGGTGTCACTCATTTGGATAATAACCCAACTGAGTGATGTGGATCATCCATGTGCATTTTCTGAATTGTGGAGGTGACATTTACAGTTTTTGCATGGGTCACTGTAATGAGGAGAAGTCCATAATTTTGTTTATATCTCAAGTTTTATAGCAAAATAGGGTAACAGATTGACAAGATTTCCAACTTTTGGGTGCTCACTCAAAATTAAATTAGGGGAGTTTTCTCTGTGACTGAAAGTTTTAGCCAGACGTGTAGACATACTTGGTTATGACCTTTGTTGTGCTGTGAGACAAAGCAAAAGCTCATACCATTATCACCCATATGCTCACATTTCTCATTTGGTGAGTATATCTACACTGTATGTATTCATTTGTATAATTGTAGAATAAATGAGTTAAACCCTAGCTGGTTTGGCTCAGTGGATAGAGCGTCTGATATGGAATGAAGAGTTAGGCCCAGGTTCAATTTTGGCCAGAAGTACATATCCGGGTTGCATGCTTGGGGTGTGCAGGAGGCAGCTAGTCAATGATTCTCTCTCATCATTGGTGGTTCTATCTATTTCTCCCTATCCCTTCCTTTCTGAAGTCAATAAAAATATATTTAATAAATAAATAAAGGAGTTAATGAAAGAATAAATAGATGAACAATCCAGGTGACTATGACTATGCAGAACCCAGAGAGGAGATGCCTGGGTGCTGTCAATATAAATTACTAAGTGGATTTGCCTCGACATAACTTTGGGTGTGAATTAAGCTATTTTTCGGAGGGGAAGCTGTAGCTCATTTTGGTCCATCATTCCAATCTATGGGACATGAAGTCCAGATAGCTGCTCCATGTGGGATCCCTCAGCTATAGGGGAATAAGCTCAAGGGGTCTTGAGTCTCAGGCTGAACACAGAACACAAAGCTCTTAGTTATTTCTGAATTGGGATCATTTTTCTCCTCACCCTCAGTTCTTGGGCACAGCTAAGTCTGATAAAGGTGACTCAGAGCAGGTGCTGAGTTCAGACATCACAGGGACGCTGATGTCAGTGGGAGGTGGGAATCATGGTAGACACCAGAAGGACCCATGATGCAGCCAGGATGTGAACGCAGAGCTAACAATGCACCATTCAGAGTGGGGCAGCCCTGGAGCCCATCTGATGACCCCAGGAGGTGCTGAAAGACAATGTGAACCATAATTGGGGAAACTTTCTGCTGAGAATGACCAGTCAATAGGACTTGGTAGGTTTGATTTGGGTGCAGGAAAACTTGGGCCATGTCCCGGTAGAAGATGCCTCTTCCATCCACATGGGGTTCTGTCTCTTGCTCCCTGTGCTCAATGACTCTCCTCCACTGCTCTTACATTCTATACCTCTGACATGAGGGTCCATCTCACATGGCTGGTTTGGATTCACATCTATGCATCCCTTCATGCTGGGTCGCATCCATCCCAAGAAATTGTGGTATCTTCATAACCCTGGGATTGTTTTTAAACCAAAAAGAATAAAGTAAAACAAAATAATAAAGCCCTGATACCTGTTCCACGTGGTTCTGCCCATTTCATATCTCCACCCCTCCTACCATCTCCCGTGGCTGTTTCTTTGTATCCTTACTTAAGAATTTCTGTTTATCTAGATTTCAGGTGGTTCTGAATGCTGATTGTTCTGTAGTTTAATTGTGATTTTGCAGTGATCATGGGAGGATTTGAGTACATCCTTTACTTTCCTGACTATCTTGAGCAGAAGTCATAATATTTTGATAATAAATAAGTAATTTTGAATTGTTTGCATAATTTTATTTAAGTAATATATAAGGTTTTTTTTTAAGTTGCTCTTCAAAAAATTTCCAAACCCATTTTAAATTGATTCAGATTTGTTTGTTTTATACATTTATATCAATCAGTTTGGAGGTCACACATGCATTTCCAATATGAATAATTACCACCATTGTTAATACAGTAAACAGGTTTGTATGCCAATCACTATCTGCAACAACAATCGTCCACCTGGAGCAATAGGATCACTGTGCCTCTGTGTTTCTACCCAAGGGTCATTGCTGATACCAGCTGCATGAAAGGTTCTGCAGCAGATGTGGCCACAGGGTTAGGAGAAGATTACTTGAGAAAGTTGTCCTATGAACGTGGATATGAACTTTTGAAAGGTCCACCTTTACATAGACCAATTTCCCTAAAAGGATAGGCCTTGGAATGATCACTGCCCTCCCTCTCACCCCCCCAAAAAAAAAAAAAAATCAAACTGGAAAAAAATCCTAATCTGTAGCAGCACCTGGATCTGCCAGTGACCTTGATGTTACGATGGGTCTGCCAAGCCACCATGGCCATGGGTGAAACTAAGAGGGAGCCGTAAAGGATGGAGAAAAGAGACAGGGGAATAAAGCTGGGGCTAGGTGGGATGCTGCTCTCTCTGATGGAGAGATAGCACCAAGGCCTGTAAGCCATGTCTTTATTTTATAGCCAAATTCCAGGAGACAAAGTAAGGTCATAGTCAAGATGTTTACAGTAGTCCCTTAGGTTTGGAATATACTCAGTTACATGCACCTGATCAAGCTTTGTTTACTTGTTGTACCTCCTGCAGCCCATATCACTCAGCCATGTGGGCCCACAGGTTCAGACAATAAGGTCAAGCTTACAACTATAGCCTTTGGCTGTAATTGTGCTGGAACTTGCACATGCCTTTGCGAGGAGAGGATAATGCCCTCTCATTAGTCCCAGGCTTGAACCTATCGGAACGCTGTAGCCACTCTCCACACATGGGTTTTCATCACTATTGAATTTAGGACAAACTTTTTCTTGGCAACTTCATTTCCAGTCCAATCTCATGAGCCAATGTTCCCCACACAAATATCTGTGTCTTTCAATTGTGCGCATTTGCATATAAGTCAACCAATGAATTACTCCTCACAAACCTAGCCACCTCCTCCTTCACTGGGAGATTCCACAGTCTGTTCCATGCTTACATGTCTCTGTTTTATGTTTCAGTTTATATTGTTCCTTAGAATCCACATACAAGTGGGATCATGTCATAGTTCCCCTTTCTCTAACTGGTTTATTTCACTTAATATAATAGTCTCCAGGTCCCTAAATGCTATCTCAAAGGGTAAGAAATCCCTTTTTTTCTACAGCTGCATACTATCCCATGATGGAAATGTACCAGGTTTTTTTACCCACTCATCTACTAATGGGCCCTTGGGCTGTTTCCAGATCTTGGCTATTGTGAATTGGGTTTCTATGAATATAGGAGTGTCTATGTTCTTTTTGACTTCTGTTTCAGGACTTCTTAGGATATCTTCTGGGTGTGGAATCACTAAAATAAAGGCAGTTCCATTTTTAATTATTTGAGGAAACTCCACACTGATTTCCACCATGGCTTCACCAGTCTGCATTCCCACTAGCAGTGAACCAGGTTTCCTTTTTCTCCGCATCCTCACCAATAAGTGTCATTTGTTGATTTGTTGGAGGTAGCCATTCTGATGGTTGAGATGAGACCTCCCTGTGTTTTATTTTGTGTCTCTCTGATGATCAGTCACTGTACCAATTTCATTGATTACTCTAATTTTCCAGCTCTTTTTTTTTAAAAATATATTTTATTGGTTTTACAGAGAGGAAGGGAGAGAGATAGAGAGTTAGAAACATTGATGAGAGAGAGTCATCGATCAGCTGCCTCTTGCACAACCCCTACTGGGGATATGCCCGCAACCAAGGTACATGCCCTTGGCCAGAATCGAACCCGGGACCTTTCAGTCCCCAAGCCAACGCTCTATCCACTGAGCCAAACCGGTCCCGGCTGGTTTTCCAGCTCTTTCCTTTCTATCCCTTTCCTTTTCATCTATTAGCATTCAACTGATTTCCTATTATGAACCATGCAGGTGCCCCTGAAGAGGTCCCATCTGGCCCTTCCTTGACTCCACTCTGCTTCAATCCTGCTGTTCCTTGCCGTAGGCCACTACACTCTTCCCCAGCTTGGCCAGTTCTTCCTCAGAAGTGCAGATCTGCGACTCTTGACTAGTTCCTTCGACTCCAGGGATGTGACCACCTGGGCCTCTCAGCGCCTTTTCTTCTGATTTTCCTGAGTCGCTCATGCAGCTAGACTTCCTTCTCATGCAGCCCATTAAGGAGACCCTGTCCTTGCTGTTTCTGAGCCTATAGTTTTAGCAGATTAGCATTTGCCCTTTGAAGTTCATCCTGAAGACCCTGACCCACACCATTCTCTGTTTAAGAGTATATATTTCTCCCAGCTGGAATGGCCCAGTTGTTTGAGCATTATCCTGTGCACCGAAAGAGTGCTGGTTCAATTCCAGGTCAGGACACAAACCTGGGTTATGGATTCAATCCCTGGTCAA